TCTTTTCATATTGCCCTTTTGGTAACTTCTGTTTTCTTCATGAATGTTCAACTTAGACAACATTCTACTCAAGTATAAATATGTAGAATTCTGATGCTCAGGGCTTATCCTCTAAGATTTAAGTTAGGTTTATTTTTTTACATGCCTAATTAACATTAGACTGGCATCTTTATTTGTTACTATTTCTATCACTAACTTTGATTTTAAAGATCTTGTATCGTATTAATTCTTCTCTTAGTGTTGCTATAAAATTTACAATTCTTTAAGAGTACTCTGAATGTTTTGTTTGGTGGTAATAAAAAGAATGGAAGAAAAATGTCTTAATTTTCTGAGCTGAAAGTACATTCGATAGTTATAAGAAATGCAAAGCAATTTTATTTGAGAAATTAAGTCTTAAAAATGTGTTTTCAGTCTTTTAAAAATGCTTTTATAGTCTGTAAAACAATCAAAGTTGTGCATCAGATAACTCTCTAAAGCCTTAAGTGTCATTAATGAAAATGTGGGCAGATTCTCACTTCAAATTCTTGTGTGTGAGTTTATACTGATTTTCTTTGTCATTGTATATTAAGTGGCAATAATCCAAATTAAAAATGTTTGGATTATTATGATCAGAATTCAGAATCTTCTTTGGTCTTATATCTTCTTTGGTGCTCAGCTGCCCCATCTAAAGATGGCAATGCAATTTTGTTTGTTGGAAGGCAAGTCATTTTGTAAATAACATCTTTTAATCTTAAGTTATATAACTCTAGTTTTATGAACAAGTAAACTTTTATGAACAAGTAATAAAGTGCCACTTTTAATAGTGCTTTAAATTTTGATTGACTTAATAAACAGGCTATTATTTTACATAGAATTATAATGGTGTAAATTCATGTCAATAATGAATGAATTCAATACTCAAATTCATTTAAATCTATAAAAGTTAAAATGAAATGTTGGCATTAAATATTTACGTTGCAATTGTCTCTCCCCTAAAGCTAAAAACTAAGTGAATTACACAAACCTAACACTGTTCTTACTTTGCAAGTTTTAGAAGTTTTTATGTTTTCTTGGGAATTATTTCAAAATGTGTATGTTACCTTAAGTGTGCATGGTTTCTATACAGTCTAGTGATTGTTATGGACAGTATTTCCCAAATGCTCATCTCCACTGAAATGTTCACCAGTTGAAAAAAACTTTTTTTTTAAAAAAAGGAAAAACCCCAAAATAAACCTGTAGATTTATTTAATTGATAAGTATCTTAGTTTGTATCTTGAATGGCCCCTCAAGACTCTGTATTAAAGGACTGGACCCCAAGTGATGTCACTACTGGAAGGTGGTAGAACCTTTAAGAGGTGGGGTCTAATGGAAGGAAGTTAAGTCATTAGGAGCCTATTCTTGAAGGGGATATTGGAACCCCACCCTTCCTCATTTTTTTTCTCCTCTCTTTCTTATGTTTTGCTTCCTGGCTACCATAAAGTGAACAGGCTTCTTTTGGAATCTGCTCCCAACATGACGTTCATTGCCACCAAAGGCCCAAAGTAACAGGCCCCAGTGACCATGATCTGAAATCTATAAACCATGAGATAAAATAAACCTTTCCTTCTTGTAAGTTGATTTTCTTAGGTACTTTGTCACAATGATGGAAAGATGACTGATACAACAGGATTCTTTTATTCCAAAAAGATTTCTCACTTTATTACTTTTTTTTTTCTCTCTCTCTCTAATAAAATGCCCTTTCTTTTGGAAAATGTTAGTATTGGATGGTGGTTTTAGTAGCATAGAAAGTTAAAAATCTCACCAAATGGTCCATTTTGTTTTGTTTTGCTGTGTTCTCTGAAAATTTTGTCATACTATAAAATCCACACACATGGGAACCTATGATACAGAGTTCACTAGAAGTATTTATTCCTGGGGTTTATTGTAAACCAAAGTCAAAATGAGAAGAGACTTTTTTTTTCTTTCTTTCTTTCTCTTTTTTTTTTTTTTTTTTGTGATGGGATCTTACAATGTTGCCCAGGCTGGCTTCTGGCTTATAACACCTTGGCTCAACAGAGGGCTCCTGCCTCAGACTGCCATGTAGCTTGGACTCTAGGCACCATATCACCATACCTGGCTACAAAGGATATATATATATATATATATATATATATATATATATATATATATATATATTTGTTTTTTTTTTTTTTTTTTTGTAAAGTGCTCGTCTAGCATGTGTGAGGCACTGGGTTTGATCCTCAGTACCACATAAAAATAAAATAAGGATTTTTTTTTAAAGGGCTAATTTCTGTCTTCTTGAATGAAGACCATATCCTAGCATGCGGAAAAGAAGTTAACTCATTAGTCTTTTATTTTAAAGTTATAAAATTTTCCTTTCAGTTGGCATATGTGCTCAAAGAAAAAAATCTGTAAAACACACAAAACAAGTCATTGATTTTTTCACCACTTGGAAAATAAGAGCATTTCTTTACATTTTGCTATGTGGTTTTTGTTGTTGTTGTTGTTTTTTGTTTTTGTTTTTTTTTTGGCTTTTTTTGGTGCTACAGATTGGACCCAGAGGCGCTTTACTACTGTGCTACATCCCCAGTCATTTTTTATTTTTAGGCAGGGTCTCATTAAGTTGCCCAGTGTGGCGTAGAACTTGCAATTCTCCTGACTCATCCTTCTGAATAGTTGGGGCTACAGGTACATGGCCACACCTGGCATTTAGATCATCTTGAAGCTGTTTGTCCTGTATTCTCTCTGTGCCTTCTCTTCCCTCTGACTAGTAAATAGTGATGCCTGGAACAATTCTGTCAGTCATATATTACAGATGACAGACTTGCCCCATCACTGGGACAGCTCACTTTTAGACTGAGAATAAGAAAATAAAATCTCTAGTTAAGCCATTATTTTTTGTGCATGTTGTGGAATGATGACAGATGGATGTCAGGCTAAAGTAGCAACTAACCACTTTACATATTTTCTCCTATTACCTACCTTTATTTTATACTTATATACATTATTATTTCTCCCTTTTGATCTCTACTTTTGAATTTGCTGTTACTTTACTGAACTTCACTTTTCTTTACTTCACTGAACTTCTAACTTACACAGTCAGCCTCCTTTGAAGGCATAGGCTCTCTTGATGTAGAACCCAGATAGTACAGTGTGGGAGAGAGGAGAGTAGATTCAAAGGCAGATGGTCCTGCTTCTCATCCTGTGGGGCTTACACAAACCCTCGGGTCCACTGATAAAACCTGCAGCCAAAAGTAACCTCCTGAGAATGAAATAGAGACTAAATATTAGACTTTGTATAGTTCCCTGGTCTAATACCTTATAGCTCCCCCACCTCAAATTTTTTTTTTTTTTGAGAGAGAGAGAGAGAAGAGAGAATTTTTTTAATATTTATTTTTCAGTTTTTTCGGTGGACACAACATCTGTATTTTTTAATTTTCATGTGGTACTGAGGATCGAATCCAGCGTCCCCCGCATGCCAGGCGAGCACGTTACCACTTGAGCCACATACCTAGCCCCCCCCACTTCAAATTTTAAGCTCAGTTAATACAATGAATGCAAATGGCCTCATGGCTGAGAGTGCAGACCCTAGAATCAGAACAAATTTGGGTTTGAACCCCAGCCTTGCCACCTACAACTAATGCTATTGTGGGCAAGTTAACAAAATATGTTTTCTTACTTGTTAAATAGGGTTAATAGCACCCTCATGGATTAGTTATGAGAATTAAAGAAAATAATGAATGTTTAGTACTTCATATACTGCAAAAGATACTCAGTAAGTATTAGTTGTTATAACTCTGTCTTTCCACATTCTAGTCCCTCTGCCTGGAACACCTTTTTCCTCTTGTTCATCTGGGGAATCCCTTCACAGTCATTGTAACTCATGCTCTATAAGAACATTCCCAGCTCCTTGGCCTGGTAAGAATGATCAATCCTTCCCTTTGTTTGGGCACTGAGAAGACACACATGTTAATCTTAATCTTAAATAATATATTAATATTAAACTAATCACAGTATAGTTTACTTGCTTATTTAAATATCTGTTCCTTCTGTGAACATGGTCCCTGTTGCATTCATTGCTAAATCTTAAGTACGCAGAACAGTCTATGTTATAGGTTCTCATATGTGTTTGCGACAACAAACTGAATACATCCTTAACTTCATTCTACAATTGACCCACCTTTCTTCTGGGTTAGGAATGAGACCTAAATATTAATTATCTCACTATTATTATCAAAAGACTTGTCTTACTAAATTAGTTTAAACTGAAGCCTAATTGGCATTGCTGGTATTCTAAAAGGCAGTTATCTGAACATGAATATCTACCAATAAATGAGCTATAATGAAAATGCTCTCATCTAACATTTCTTAGTGTTTTCTCAGAAATTGTTAGCAAATGCAATTTAGAAGATCTTAAAAATCACAGTCAGTAATTGAAAATGTACTGCTTTTATAAAAGGAAGAAGTTATTAAAATTTTAAGGACAGAAAATAATTATAAGAATACTTTGGGCAGGGAGTGTAGCTCAGTAGTAGAGTGCATGCTTAGCTTGTATGAGGCCCTGGGTTCAATCTCCTGTACCAAAAGAAAAAAGAAAAGAATACTTTGCATGTGTATGGAAATTCTTACCCTATAAAATCTTTCACCTGCTTCTCCTATTTGCCTATGATAGTGAAAACAGTTATATTCCTATTACATGGGAAAACATTTACTATAGATAAAACCTTGAGTAAAGATTATGTTTTACCCAACTTTGGTGGCCTTTTCAGTGACAGTTGAATCTAGATTTCAATTAAATACACTATTTTTACAGTTTTCTAGAAGGAAAGAGAATACACACACACACACACGTGTTTGTGTGTGTGTGTGTGTGTGTGTGTGTATTCACCTTTGAAGATTTTTATTTCCTTTAAAGAACTTAATAAAATTTTTGATGACAGTGACTACATGTTGTCTTAAAAAGTAAAACACATTTTGTTAATGAGAGATTTAAAATACCAACAATAAAATAATAAAAATACCTCAATGCAGATGTGATGCATTCCTCCAGCCTTGTTTTTCTGCAGAAAACCTGCAATTGGACTGTCATTTCCCAGTGGATGAAGCAATTCCATCTTGGTATTTCCCAGGTTGACAAAAACAACAGATACTCCATGTTCAGGAAGAGGGACCACCTCACTTACCTGGGCCCCCAAAATATTCTGATAAAATGCTGTGGACTTTTTCAAATCTGGCACTGCAATGGCTACATGATTGAGTTGACCAAGATTCCATACAGGATCTGCCACCTGATGCAAGGACTGTGATGCAGAAAAGCTTCTCACTGCTGGAACTCGATTTAGGAATTTTGAAAAACACCCTGAAAAATTGAACAGTCATTGGTATCCTTCTTTTGAGAATTAATGCATTTCAAATTATAATTTAAAAAAAACCAAACAAATAATACATAAGAAAATTAATTATTTAATGTCTATTCTTTTTAATTATTGAAATTAACTCAGGGGAAATAAATGGAAAAACTTACGTTAAAATTACTCTGTGCTGCCCAGAATTAAAAAGCTAATTGTCCAAAATTAAGAAAAGTAATTCTGAGCTTGAGCTAAGCACAGTGGTGCAAGCAAGCCTGTAATCCCAGCAACTCAGAAGGCTGAAGCAAGAGAGAACAAGTTCAAGATCAACTTCAGCAACTTAGAGAGGCTGTCTTAAAATAAAAAGGGCTATGGTATTGCTCAGTGGTAGAGGGTCTCTGGGTTCAATTCCTACTATTATACACACACACATACACACACACACACACACACACACACTGATAATTCTGAACTTCAATTGGATTTTGAACAAAGAATGACACTTTTCATAATCATTTATATTTACTGGTAACACTTGAAGTATAATGGCATATTAAGAACTACTTGTTAAACTCTGAAGGGGTTAAGTCTGAATGTAACAGTGATACAACATACACTTAATGATAAAAGCAAGCCACTTTCTTTCCCACCTAAACACAATTTTTTGTTTATAATCTGTAATAAAGTCATGAAATGCATATCTATACAATAATTTTTAATGTGTATTTTATTTGAATGATTATCAACCAAGGAAAATATATCATTGTTGGGGGGATAAGCAAAGATCAAGGCAATAGTTAATTTATGAGAATTTCCTCTGACACCAGACTTTTTGTCATTTTGAAGGATTAGAGGCAGAACTTTGCTAATCTCCTTTCATTCAGTTGAAACCCCCTTTCATTCAGTAACTGAAGAAGGCTGCAAGACTTTCCCATTCCCACAAACATGGGAGTCCACAAAGAGTCCAACTCCCCAGAATGAAAAATACATAAATGTATGAAGTCTAAATATAATTATGTAAAACTATATCACTTAATAATTTGGTATGAAATAGCAAGATGAAGATCATATACAGTATTTTTTTAAACAATAGGTGGGTAGTGAAAAAAACTTTACATAGTACCAAGTACAGCACAGCTATAGCTAATAAAATACCTCTTAACTGAAATTTTCTTTAGGAAGAAAATTAAAGTGATACTATTTTGTTTTATTTAACCTGATACACTGTAAGTCAGTAGAAGGCAAAATTCAGCCTAAGATGGTCTTCTACCCTGCCCCAGTCTATATTATGGGTTACTGAAATACTTAAAGGTTCTCATTACCAATAGGGCAATATAGTTCTGTTTTATGGACTCACTGCTATTATGAAATCCAAATGTATTACAACTCAGCATATATATATGGACACACACACAAACTCAGCATACACACACACACACACACACACACACATACACACACACATATATAAATGTACAACTGAAATGAAATTACATAAAAAGAATACCCAATCCTTATATAATGGCATAAAATAAAAATAAATAAATAAAGAAAGAATACCCAATCTTTACTAGAAGTGATGTGCTTTTTTTATCCATCATTTGTTATTTTAGATTTAAAAAAATATTAGTATTACCCACTAAATATGTAACTTTGTTTGTTGTGTAGACAGTTGGTGCCCAAACAATACAGTACCAGACATACATAGATATACAACAAATTCATCCATTCTTATCGTTATTGATATATAATGATGATTTTCTAGCTGAGTGGCACGAGGGATTTTCTGCAGAGACACGGTGATAATGAACTTTACAAAGACTAACGACCAACAAAATCATTGCAAGCTGCTCCTCCTTTCTTTCTTCTCGTGTTTACTGTATGTGCAACTTGCAATGGAAGTTTAATGAAGTATTTATATTATAAAAAACATTGTATACAGGATTAATGAGCTTTTGGGTAGTATGCACACTACTGTCATTGAAAGTTTAAGGGTATGTCAAATATTGTGCTGGTATCTGGATTGTCCTTACCAGAATTACTTCTACAAGAGATGGAGCAGGTAGAGATCCTTAATTAATATAATTAATTAATATAATATAAAATAATTAATATAATTAATATAACACTATCATAAGCATTTGAATATACAGATATGTTAAAGGAACAAATTATAGGATATTTAAATGAAAACAGTTTTATACCCTATGCCACTTTGCTTTAGGAATATTGAAAAAACTTTTGTCACTGAAAATGAAGGCCAATTCACGTTATTTGAAGCCTCACTGTAGAATTCCTCTATAACTATTTTATCATTTGATTTACCAGGACAGGTTCTTTTTTAATAGAAAACAAAATCTGCTTTATATGTTAGAGAGACCACAGCATTTTTCATATTGTAAAAATTTAAGATTTTGAAGCCACCTAGGTTTATCTTTTCTCTAGAGATGGGAAATGGTTTCAGAAATACAATATAATTCTTTGTTGGTTTCTTTGGCCCCCAAGACATACATTCTAGAATTAGGATAGAAAAAAATACAGCAATACCAATGAAAATTCAATAATTTAGCTTCTTTAAAAGGAGAGGATAGAGCCAGGTACAGGGGTGCATGCCTCCCAGCAGCTCGGGAGGCTGAGGCAGGAGGATCATGAATTCAAGGCCAGCCTCAGCAAGGGTGAGGTGCTAAGCAACTCAGTGAGACCTCGTCTCTAACTAAAATACAAAATAGGGTTCGGGATGTGGTTCAGTGGTTGAGTGTCCATGAGTTTAATCCCTGGTACCAAAAAAAAAGAGAATAGGATATAAAAATGCCCAACAAGCATATTAGATATTCAATAATATTAGTGATTAAAGAAAAGCCAATCAAATCCATGATGAGATACTACTTCACAGCCATCAAGAAAAACAAAATAAACAAGTGTTGATGAGTATGTAGAGAAACTGGAACCCTTGTATTTTGTTGATAAAAATGTAAAATGGTGCAGCTGTAAAGGGATGGTTTGTCAGTTCCTTAGAAAATTAAACAAATTATCATATGACCCAGGAATTCCATACCTAAGTACCCCAAATAGCTGCAAACAGGAATTTAAAATCTTGTACACTAATAATCACAGTAGCAGCATTCCCAATAGACAAACAATGAAATATTATTCATATCTACATAAGGAAGTTATTATCTGGATGTAAAGTATTCATACATGCTACAATGTGGATGAATGTATAATATATTTGTAATATGTAACTAATATTAATGATAGAAGGCTGACATAAAAGGTCACATGCTGTACGATCCTAATTACATATAATATCTAGAATAGGTAAATCTATAGTGACAGAAGGCAAAACAATGGTTGCCAGAGGCTGGGAGGAGGAGGGCACAGAAACAACTGTTTAATATGAATGGGTTTACTTTTGGGGTGACAAAAATGTTTTGGAACTGGATAAAGGTAACAGCTGCACAACACTGTAAGTGTAATAAATACTGTTAAATTGTACATTTTTATTTCTCCCCAGGGCCAAGGATCTAACCCAGAGTCTTGTGTTTGTTAGTAACTGTATATTTTTTAATGGTTAATTTTATGTTATGTGAACTTTACCTTGATATGGAAGAGGAAGATGAAAATGAGGAGGAATGATAATAATCCTAGCAGTAAAAATCTGTGGATAAAACCCTGTAGACCAAGCAAACTGGGTAAGGATCAGGGAATAAAGGCTTTTAAATATATATGTGTGTGTGTATTATATATATTAGTGATTAATGATTAATTAGTGACAATACACACACACATACACATACACACACACACACACATTTTCCAGTGTTACTGAGATATGATGGACAAATTGAAATTGCATGTACTGAAAGTTTTTAAATATGTATATAATATGAAATGATTTTCACAAACTTTTTTTTTTCAAATATTTATTTTTTAGTTGTAGTTGGACACTATCTTTATTTTATTTTTACGTGTGCTGAGGATCGAACCCAGGGCCTTGCGCGTCCTAGGCGAGGACTCTACCGCTGAGCCACAATCCCAGCCCCTCAAACTAACTTTTTTTTTAAAATATTTATTTTTTAGTTATAGGTGGACACAATATCTTTATTTTATTTGTATGTGGTGCTGGTGATTGAACCCAGTACCTCATGCATGGTAGGTGAGCACTTACCTCTGAGCCATAGCCCAACCCATCAAACTGACTTTTTAAAAAGATATTATTTCATATTTTCACCCAACTGGTAGGAACTCTCAACTCTAGAATTAGATTTCTGTCTCTGAGCTCAGAAGGGTGCAGTACAATTGTACTGCTTTAAACTCCACAGTAGATCATCTGTAATTATTCCAATAAGGGTTATTTTGTAAAAATAAACTACAAAGTGTAACTATGTGTGAATAAACATGTAAAATACTTGAAAATAGGAGGATTAAAAACCAAGGGTGTAAAGATGAATAACCATTTTAAAACAACTTACTTTCACACACATCAGAAATGTGGTATATGAGATATATATATATATATATATATATATATATATATATATATATATATATATATATATATAAATAAAACAAAATCTAGTATGTTAACTCTTAATTCTTACCTTCCTGTGTATCAGTTCTCATTAATCATGTTCTTACTAATAACTTCTACTGTTTTGACTTAAAAATAACATGCCTTTCTTTCAGTTCAGATTTGGCATTTCAGATTAGGTTTTCCAGACAGTTTCCAAATAAATAAAGGTTTACCTTCAAGAGTTTATATTGAAATTCATTAAGGGTACTTAGTATTTAAACAAATTAGATGTTAACTTTGTATATAAAGTGTCATAAAATTGTGACTAATCACTTGTAATAAGTTTTTCAACAGCTTTATCTCAACAATTATATTTAGAAAACAGATTTATAATTTACATATCATGAAGTTCACCAATTTGAGGTGTAAATTCAGTAGTTTTTAGAATATTTGCAAAGTTGTGCAACCTTCACATAATTTTTATTTTCACATTTAGATTTTAGGTTTAAGTATTATTATGTAAAAGGCAGTGTGCCTTATGGTTAGGAATATGGGCTCTAGTGCTAGAAAGTTCTAATTCAAACCTTGACCTTACCATTCAGTTGTGTTACTGAGCTGTTACTCAACCACTCTATACCAGTATTTCTGCATATATAAAATGAAAACAGTATCTATCTAATAGGGAATGTCATAAAACCAAATGGTAAATATATATGAAGAGTTGAAAAAAGAGCCCAGCACAAAGTAAATAATAAATACCAAGAGTTACCATTGCTGGCACCCTTAGAAAGGTTACATTAACAACTTGCTTACAAATGAAAGCATCTCTGACTACTAATGTACTTTATGCTTTTAAAGGATCCCATGAAAGTTAACTCTGTACCACCTCAGTCACAGTATTGCCCTTATGCTACAATCTCATTCAATAGCTAAAATAACTTGTATACACAGTGCTTTTGTATTCACTGCTTCATTCATTAATGCAGTTTATTATTTTTCATGATAAGGAGACCACTCACCTCCTTTCTCTCTAGAAAATTGTGTGGGCTCCAATTTGAGAACATTGTTGGTAGTAATTGAGTATTTAGCGACTGATATCATGTTGTAGTTTTGCTGTTGGGAGGTATTAAAAGCATAGAATTCTGTTTAATTTTTAGTGTAGAAATACAGATTTACCATTTTGCTGAGTTAAAATTAGTTGCTAATGATAACTCTCCAACATACACTGATCATGACTGGTAATTTTTGGAAACTTCTTTTAATATCATAAACAAATAGAAACTACACATTATGCCTTTATAAGAACCTATAAGCTGGCTATTATCCCCAAAGCTAATATGTTGCAAATCATCTCTAGGTATTTTCTATATTTTGTTAACAGCTGGGATTTATTAATAGTGAAGTACAGAATCCCCTGGGGTAAAATCTAGCTGATTTTACCTGACCTTTCCAGTACAGACCTGTGGGCTTATTTCATTGTTAAGATTTATGCATTAATGTTCCTATGTAGTATTGTCTAAATCTGTAATCCTGCCTAACCAAACTGAAATTACAATACTGATGTGGGAGTGTACCATGTGGTAGCCTAACTCATCCTATTAGTGTTTGTAGCCACTGAAATAATGATCACAAAGACTAATGAAGTGAGAATGTTATTTTATTTAATCCTCACAATAATTCTATGGACTAGATGATATTATTTTCCTCATCTTTTTAGAAATAAGGAAATAGGCTAAACAGATCACAAGTGATTTTCCTCAATATCACAATAAGATGCAAAGTGGGGCCACTAGCCCAGGTCTGTCAAACATTGAAGTTGATGTTATTAAATGATTATGTTTAACTCTCATTCCTCTAAAATTCTTTACCATTCTTTCAATTCTCAGTTTTCAATGTCTTTGGCTTATGCAATTACCTAAGAGATGTCTTGCTAAGAAATAACAAGACAGCTTTTTGTTTTATGAGTTTTTTTTTACAAAAAGTTATGTGCAATGGTATGTGAGCTAAAATGCTGACCTGCATTTTACCAAGGATATTAAGGCCAATAGAGTTAATTGTTAACAAAATCTGAATATTATGTTAACTAGATATTCATTTTAACTGTGCTCAACATTTTTTTCATGTGTATACATATATTTCACTTTTTAAAACTGATTTAAGTGTTGAGACAGCTAAACCTACTAAGTACACTTTTTCTTTGCATATGGATGCTCATCACTTAACCCTGGACATGATAATTAAGAAATTCTGTGACTAATGAGAAAGGCTTGAGTGATCAATAAAGAACTGATCCAGTTTGAGATGGGACTTCAATGGATGGCTAGGACTTCAGGTTTCAATAGGCTGACTACAGAGGGCACTTTTTAGGAGACAAACCTAACAAAACTTTATTCCCTGGGCTGGGGCTGCAGCTCAGAGGTGGAGCGCTTGCCTGTAAACTGAGGCACTGGTGGAGCGCTTGCCTGTAAACTGAGGCACTGGGTTCTATCCTCAGCACTACACAAAAATAAATAGATTGTGTCCATGTACAACTAAAAAAATTAAAAACCAAAACCACTATTTCCTTGAACACTTTTGAAGGTGCTGGCTGAAGGATTTGCCACACTATGTTCAGGAGTAAGTCTGGGAATTATCACGTTGTACTTATATCAAATAGGAAATCTCAGATTAGGGGGGGAAATGCTTGCGTTTGTAAAGAGAGGAAGAGAAGAAAAAGAGGGAGGAGAAAGTGGGAAACTCAGAAAACTTGACCATCAGTCATCACAGATTCCATGTAGACATAAAGAAAAAAAAGTGGAGGTGGAGCGACCTTGAGGAGTTTCAAAATACTTCTCTGTTTATATAGAAGATGATAAATACACTAGGGCACGTGGGTAAAATATTTCTTTGGTATTCTTTACCCCAGTGACTTTCAGTTGTTCCTGCAGGGGTTCCATGCTTGAATTCAGCTTAAGTCCACAGGACTTGCCCTCTTTTCTATATTTTCCCCAATGTCTTATGGTATGCGGTGAACACTCAATTCCTCCTCCATTTACTTCCTTCCTTTTCATCTGCCCCTGCCTTGCAGGTCCCACACACAGCTCACAGGGTGGCACACTAAGACAACCCCCCCCCCACCCCCCCGCCCGCCCCGCTTTTAAGTGACTGCTGGCTAAGGTGCTGACAGAAGCTGCGAAAGGCGGCTCCGTAGGGCAGGACGCTTTAGACCCCGGTGGTTGGCCACCGGTGGTCTCCTCCGCCCCGGGCCTCTGGTTCGGCGCACACCGCCCTGCCCCGCCCCACGGTGATCCCAACGGTGCCCGGTATTCACCTACGGCCAACGTAGCCCTCGCCATGGCAGCCCCCGCCACGGCCGTCAACACACGCGCCATCTTAGGAAGCTACCTGCTAGGTCCCGACTGGCGGCAGAGCCGGCGAGGAAAGAGGGCGAGGGGCGGGGCCACGTGGTGAGGTGACTGGCTAGAGACCTAAGGGGCGGGGAAAGGCGGCCAGGGGGCGTGGCGAGCGTGTTTGGATTCCTAGGGAAGATGGAAGAGACCAGCCCTTCTGGTAAGAGTGCGTTCCTGTTACCTTGCATAATTTGACTCTCACCGGGCTCTAAAACTCGCCACCTACTGTATCCAAAGAAGAAACGTAAAACGACCACGCGTCACCAGTTGTGGGCCCCTCAGGAAACCCAAACATAAAGTCTGGAGGAAATTCAACGATTCCTGGACTGACCAGTAGCTATTTTCTGTTTTCTGCCCCGCCCCACTACGCAAGCCCAGTGAAAGTTCTCACTCTATCATTGGCTCCGATTAAGGTGGGTCCGGAACCTAGGCACGACGGAACCTTCGGCTATGAGTTGCGGGTTACGCTAGGCACCTTTTTGCCGCGGAATTTCCGTTTTAGCTCTCTTCCGGGTCGGCTCTCTTCCCTTGCATGAGGTGCTGTATCTGGAGTAGCTGACGGCGATGGCTCCTCGGGTCTGGCGTCGGCGGACCCTGGAGCGGTGTCTGAGAGAGGTCGGTAAAGCCACCAGCCAACCCGAACGCTTTCTCACGTAAGTGCACGTATCCCGGGCTCGGAGACCAGTTCTCACGTGGGCGTGGGTTGCCGGCAGCCTTCAAATTCTGTATGGGAAGAAAAGGGAGTATAGATTATTTCTTCCCATATATCAGTTTATGCTTCCATGGCCTAACAACTCCTAGATTGCTTAGGGCCTCTGTATGTTGCTGAGACAGGCTTTGAATTTGTGATCCTCCTGCCTCAGCTTCCTGAGCTGCTGTGATTACAGGCATATGCTACTGTGCCTGACTCAGAATCTATACTTAAAATTCATAGTTTGTGTTTGATTTTTTTTGCACTTGAGTTGAATCTTATTTTTCTTTTAATTCAGAGGTCTGTGAAATCACTACCTATAAGTTTTATGTCTTTTGATCTCCTCCCCCAATAGGATTCAAGATGGATTAGCATCAAACTTCACTTCTTTAACAAAAGTTCTTTATGACTTCAATAAAATACTAGAGAATGGTAGGATTCTTGGAAGTCCTTTACAAAAACTTGTGATAAACAATTTTGATGATGAGCAAATTTGGCAACAACTGGAATTGCAAAATGAACCAGTTTTACAATACTTCCAGAAGGCAGTTAGTGAAACAATTAAAAATGAAGACATCACTCTTCTTCCAAAGAATATAGAGCAGGATTGTGAAGAGAATGGCTCAGAGATGGAGGCTGATAACCAGGAGAACCTAGAAGATTTGGAAGAGGAGGAGAAAGTGTCAGATGTGGGTGATAATGATCCTAAAGCTGGTGAAAAGCCTAAAAACTCAAGCAAATTTGATCAGAGGAAAAGCTCAGTTTTCAGTGATGAGGATTCTGATCTTGACTTTGATATTAGCAAATTGGAACAGCAGAGCAAGGTGCAAAATAAACAGCCAGAGAAGTCAAGGGAAAAGTCTATAGTAGATGACAAATTCTTTAAACTATCTGAAATGGAGACCTTTTTGGAGAACATAGAAAAAGAAGAACAAAAAAAAGATGAAGAGGAGAAAGAAGATATTGACTTTTTTGAAGATATTGATTCTGATGAAGAAGATGAGGAAGAATTGTTTAGAAATCAAAAACTTAAGGTAAAGTTATGGAAGAGGAGAAGAGAGAGTACTTTCTTCCTCCTCAATTAAGATTTTGTTCTGTTTCCTAAGAGAGATTTTAAGCACCTCAGAATTCATCAAGACACATATGAAGTATTAGATCAATTGAAAAAAAATTGGTGAAATTAAACTGAAGCTATCATTTCCTTGTCACAAAATAATTCTCTTGATAGATAGCTTAAGAACCATAATCACACATTAGAGGTATTCACAGGTTTCCCTCAAACATATTTTCAACAAACATGAAAAATAATTGGGAATGAAAATATTTAATACTGGAATGTAACAAACTACATGGAAGTGTAGATCCATGTAGGCAGGGGTGTTTTGGAAATAATTATAGTTAAAAGATTTAGAGATAGGAATAGTGGGCTCTTGTTTTGTCAATTATAAATAAGACTATACAGGCTGGGTGTGTAGCTCAGTGATAGAGTGCTTGCTTAGCACTTGTGAGGCACTGGGTTCTATCCTCAGAACCACATATAAAAATAAATAAAAGTATTGTGTCCAATAAATAAATAAATACTGTACTTACATTCAGTTTATTATATCTCGGTTCTTAATGGTTTTGTGGTAGTGTTATTGGTTACTAGTTTCCTGTAATTATTTTTTGGCTGGTAATGTTGAATTAGTCAAGCAATATATATATATGCCATATGTACATATGTACAAATGGATCTACACTTCCATGTAGTTTGTTACATTCCAATTCTTGTGGTTTTATAACAATGTTACTAGTTAGGAGTTTCCCCTAATTATTTTTGGCTGCTAGTGTTAAAGTAGGAAAGGGGTGTGGGTGTGTGTGTGTGTGTGTGTGTGTGTAGTACATGTATACACATGCATTTTTTATGTATTTTTCTGTTTTTCATTAAATGTTTTTAAAATCTTCTTGTTTAGTCAGATAAAAGTTCAAGAAATCTGAAATACAAAGATTTTTTTGATCCAGTTGAAAGTGATGAAGACATGGTAAATGGTGATGATGGGCTGGATTCAAACAAAGAAGAGGAAGAAATTGCTGAAGAAGAAGCAGAAGAAAGTATTTCTGAAACGTGAGTATTTTAAATAATCCTTTACATTATAAACTAGAAATGTACGTATGCTCATAATTGTCAGCTATGTTTGTCTTAAGCAGTTAAATTCTCAAATAGTAGATTCTCTAATTTCAGATTATCTCATATAGCTTGAAGGAACATTAGAGTTAATGAAGAAAAATATTTCTGGCAGTAACAGTCAAACCTTTGTTACAAGAAAGGAGCTTTTTTTTTTTTTTGAGTTTTGGTTTGTTTTTAAAGATGGTAATCTGTTTTTTATACCTTTATTTTATTTACTTTATGTGGTTCTGAGGCTCGAACCCAGTGCCTCACATGTGCTGAGCAAGTGCTCTACCACTGAGCTACAATCCCAGCCCTGATATGGGTTTTGTGCTAGTAATCCTCGAGGTTCTTTCTGTGAAATAAGAACTTTGTATTATAGATTGATGAATAATTTATTTGCACATATTGGGCCCTTTTGTTCTATTTCTTACATAGCATTTTACCTAAATAATTCCTTCTGTTGTTTTTAAATAACTTAATGACTTTGGAAGTTCTGAATATATTTGGGACATTAGAGATACAAAAGAACTTCAATAGAGGAAAATTGTATTTGTTTTCTAGTGAAAAGTTGTTTTTCCTTTGATACACATTTTGGTATTACAGGGATGAGGATAATGACCTTGAAGAAAGTGAAGATAGTGAACAGCATAAAGGCTCAAAAAGCGTGACCTTTGCTTTGCCAGATGATAAAGAAACTGAAGATACAGATGTGTTAAATGTAAAGAAAGATCCTGATGAAGTTAAATCCTCTTTTGAAAAAAGACAGGAGAAGGTAATTTTAAGAAATTTAAGAAATGTTTTATGTGTTTTACATGACTGTGGAACTCAGTCTGATCTATCATATTTTTCCTGTGGGAAATACCGACTATCCTTTAAGAATAAAAATCTTACAGCCACTCTAAAGCACAGTGTATGTAGATGCCACATTGAAGCTTCTAATTTGCAAAAGTCAGTTCCTGCATTTCTTAGCCTTGGGGGCCTTTTCTTTTCTTTTTTCTTTAGTTTGTTTCTTTTCTTTATGCCTGATGTCTTTATATACCCATGTCATGTCTCTCCAGCTTAGCCATCCCCTGAGCCTCTTGGTGTAACTGAACTCCTCTGGAAAATGCTGCCTATCTCTTTAAAGTGCTGTGTAAATTATTTTTGTGGGTGTTACATATAGCCTGTATTTTAATTAAAACCATCTCAAACACATCTTCCAAATTGATGGAAATTGTTTGCTTATGACATAATTTCAGGTAGATGACGTGTCACTTAATTTTAATAGAGGTAGTGTGGCTCCAGTCATTTGGCTTTATCATTTGTCCACCTTAAAATTATACAATTAGATCTCTAGATAGGGAATAGGTGTGGGAGGGAGAAGGGGAATAGCATGGATGGTAAAAGGAGACCCTCATCATTATACAAAATACATGAGGAAGATGTGAATTTGATGTCAACATACCTTATATATAATCAGAGATATGATAAATTATTGAATAATGGTGTATTAAGAATCGTAAAGCAATAAATAAATAAATAATTGTAATGCAAAAAGATTATACAATTAGAAATGAGAATAGGCAGATTATCAAAGATAACAAGATACTGGAATAATTATAAAAAGTATGAGAATCTGAATTAAATTCAAGATTGCCAGATTGTCTCCAAAAGAAATCTGAGGAAAAAAGCACCGTAAAAGAAAACAAATTTGAGTCTGGGGTTGTGGCTCAGCAGTAGAGCACTTGCTTAGCACTTGTGAGGCACTGGGTTCAATCCTCAGCACCACATAAAAACAAATAAATACAATAAAGGTATTGTGTCCAACTACAACTAAAAAAATAAAAATTAAAAAAAGAAAATAAATGTCTTCTCACCTCATTTCTCCCACCCTCCTCTGACAAATGAAAGCTTTGGTTTTACTGTGAAATTATATCAGACCTTCAAGAAATAGGTAATTTAATGCTGTTTAATTAATTTCCACATTAAGTAAAGAGTAAAGTAAAACTTCAAAACTTCTTTTTTTCTTGGGAAATTGTTATAATATGGAATGCTAACCCTGACAAAGATGAAAATAAAATATACACACACTCAGTCTCATTTAAGAATAATGATACAAAAATCCCAAATAACAAAGTGAAAAAATAATGCCATAAAAGCAAGTGGGTCTCATTCTATTGAATCATTTTAGGAAGTCTGATGTGATTCTTGGTTTTAAGAGGTTAAGGGAAAAAGTCTGTGTCAGAAAGACTTGCCAAAATTCAGTATTCGTGTCCTGTTTTATTGTTTGTGTTTTATTTATATATATATGTATATTTTGTGTGTGTGTATGTGGTGCTGGGAATTCAATCCAGGGCCTTGTATGCAAGGCAAGCACTCTATCA